GGTATCTACGGAGAAATTGGATATAACCACGCAGTCTTTAGTCTATTTAGTAGAAGCCTGGTTGATAAGTTGAAGCATTGCGATTCTGTAGGGCCGAACAATCGGAGGAGCTAGATAGCGTTCGCGTGCCAGCGGTTGCCCCGCCATCCGCTGCTGTCGTCCCAAAGCGGTAATCCTGCAACTTTGCCAAGACCAACTCCAGAAATCAATTCATCCTGTCTCCACTAGGCTTACAACCAAATGTGGTGGAGCCTAAACGCCATGTGTTAGATATCTGTCAGAATCAAAGGCGAGAAGACTCATCATTAAGCTCTACTTTTATCGATTTCCCGAATGACACACGCTTCTCTCAGCTCGAGGACGACGTCTGTTATGCCAGCGGCCGCTGGCTCATCGACACAATGAGCACCACGCCGAATGTTATCGTCCTCCAGTCCTCTTCACCCGAGCGGATTTGGGCTCGCTCCGTTTCGCCATGTACTCCGGAGAGGCTCTTCGGATTTTCTCCCCGGAGTTCGTCTCCTCCGTCGATGTTGTCGCCCTCCAAGCTTTTCGCCCCTTCTCCATCCCGCAGACACAACGCGTCGGAGACGCGGAAATCACCCCTGAGCGAGGAAGTCGGCAGGGAGAATATACCAGTTGTGAATAATCAGCAGGATAGCGAGGCCGGAGGAAAGGCTAAACGTGCTCCAAGAAAAGCGCCGATCAAACAGCAGAAACTGACAGGGGAAACGGAGCTGGTCTCCAAAGATCCCCAAAGCAAGACTGCGAAAAAGACAACAGGGACGACAAAAAAAGCCCGTTCTCAGAAAGCGAAAAAGTCCGAGGAGGCAGGAAACAAAATCCTCAAGGGCAGGGTGGCAAAGCCAGACAGCGGAAAGGCTGTAGAAGAAGCGGAGAAGACGGTTATATCAGATAATATGGAGCTGGATTTATCTGCTGCTGGAGCCAGGAAACCTAGTGTACCTAGTGTTTCTGAGCAGGATGGCTTAAATCTCGAAGAAGCCATGAAGCGGAGATTGGATTGGACGCCTCCAAAGAATACTGAATGCCAAGTCATTGACCTTGACGATGGGGATGATGCCGCCAGCACAAAAGACAATGATGGAAGCCGCGGATTTGGTGATCGTCTGTTAGACTACCGTTTCAATGACGAGGGTGTTGCCTCTCAAGACCATGTCCAGAAAATAGGAGATGGTCACCCCACGAAGCGACGACGCATAGAGGTATGTTCCCCTCGTACCCGATATTATTGCGTAGGATCGCCATTATGCTGATCATCTTTGAAGCTATTGGAATTTCAGGTCCCTAGAGAACCTAAAAAACTCACTCATCGACCGCGCACCTCCAAAGAAGTTGTGGATATTGATTCAGTTGATGATGTTTCAGCTGCGCAGCACCGTAACGAAAAGCCCAAGTCGCAGAGAAAGAAAGTGAAGACAATTACAGCTCATGCAACGGCACGATATATCCCGGTTCTTGAAGAAGAAGATAGAACGCTTCTACGGTATTTTGAAAGAAACGAGGAACAAACCACAGAGGAGGCAAGCAAAGCTCCTAAACGAAAGGCCCCAGCCAAAAAGCGCAGCAATGGCGTTGTGAAATCTAAAGCCCCAAAGCGCATAATACTGTCTCCAGAGGCGGCGACGAGGTCATTGGCAGACCAAGAGATCCTATTCGGCACCTGCAGTCAGCTGGAAGGAAACGATTCCCCAACGTTTGTGAAGGAGACGCAGAAAGCTCTACTTGCTTCGGAAAGTTTTATGTCCACAGAGAGTAGCAATCTGTCTGGCCAGACCGCTGTATCGACAACAAGCAAGGTTTTACGGTTCACAAGCTCAAGGGGGCTATGGTCTGTAGCTGCGAGAGACTCGGACGGATTCGTGGTCCAGCCAGAAATCTTGGACATGGTAGATTCCCCAGACGTCTCCAGTGCCCGACAGACTATTTCTCAAGCCAATCCTGACAGAGTAGATGGCCCGCAAGAAACGAAAGATGACTCGCTTGAGATTGCTACCAACTCCAATGTGCAATCCAAGCCCGCCTCAATACGTCAGCAAAACCAAGAACAACTCGTGTCAGAAAGAGAATCATCTGTACCTCTCGAGCTAGCCAAGCCGGTTAATCATCGCGAGGCAACGGTAGCTGTCAAAGAACCGTCTGTTCCACCACCGGAAATGCCAAGATACAGTGGCTTCACGGACGCCGAGCTCAGAAAGCAAATAGCCTCTTACGGATTCAAACCTGTCAAGGGCCGCAATAAGATGATTGCCTTGCTCGAGAAATGCTGGAAGAGTATGCATCCAACTGTGGAGAAGGTGCAAGAGGAAGAAAGTCGCGAATCATACTCGCATGGGTTAGAGCAGACGGAGAAGGCCAAAACCAAATCTGGTGATTCTACGAAATCTGCAGACCAAGCCACTGTTACAGTCGGATCTCAAACGAGGGCTTCCTCACGCCAAGCAAATAAAGGAGAGCAGCAGCAGTCCGACAAACCTATATCACGTGGGCGATCTAAGAAGGCACAAACCGCATCTTCAGGACGTTCGAAAGGGAAGAAAAAGAAAGGAGCCTCAGAAACTGAAAACTTAAAAGGGACGACAACAGCCCCTCCTTCAGCGGCAATCGTTGTGGAAGAAATCGAAGATTCAGAAGAGGAGGTAATTCCGTCTCCGACCCGAATACAGCAGCAACAACAAAGCCGGTATTTTTCTTCGAATGCAAATGCTCGTCATCGATCTACTACTACCCCGGCATTACCACCTCTCCCACTATCATCGAGCCCTAGCCCTAGTCCTGGCAACACTCCGAAGAGATCTACTACCACTTCGACAACGACGATCCACAATACCAATCATAATGATGATGATCATGGTGACGATAACCAACTCCCCAACTTATTCACCCAGATCACGGAAGCGATCCGAGCGCAGCCGCGGATGCCATCCGGTGGTCCGGGCCAGAAACGCCGACCAACCTGGCACGAGAAGATCCTACTGTACGACCCCATCGTGGTCGAGGATCTCGCGACGTGGCTGAACACGGAAGGCCTGGGATTGATCGGGGAGGATCGGGAAGTCAGTGCGGGCTTGGTGCGGGAGTGGTGTGAGAGTAAGGGGATATGTTGTTGTCATAGGAATAAATAGATATATATACTATCATATAAACAAGAAGAACAGGATTGACCAGGTTGATTTATTTATTGTTCGAACAGTATCTACGAAAGTCCGATTTTTTTTGTAATATAACCCAGATATGAATTGTCAATTGTCAATTGTCAATGTCAACTTCAATATCAGAGTCTAACTAACTATTAACTAACCCTTCAATACAATGACAATTTATCTCACACTCGGGGAAAAAAGAAGAAAACTCGAACTGTTCTCTAGAAATCTTGAATCAACCAGACCATTAATGCAACCAACCTGATAACCTGCTTTGACTCGAACATGACAAAAATAAAAGGAAAGAAAGAAAGGAAGGAAATAATCACGAAGATCCAAAAAACGCCGTAACACCTACTTAAACATCTGCTGAGATGAAAAAAGAACTTCTTAGCAAAAAAAGAAAGAAAGAAAGAAAGACAGAAAGAAAGAAAGAAAGAAAGAAAGAAAGAAAGAAAGAAAGAAAGAAAGAAAGAAAGAAAGAAAGTCAAAAAAGGCCACCATGACATAACTGAATAATCGAGCGAAAGGGTAAAAAAAAAGTGGAAAAGTCGAAAAAAGGTTGTCAGATTTCAGGATTGGTAGGTATGGACCAGGACCCTAATAGTAAGGTATGTAGGACCTAGTCTGCATCGTACAAGTTACCTGTATCTCCATTGTCGTTGTTGTTCTGGAAGGCGTCTGAGTGCAAGATGTCCTCTACGTTCAACTCAGGCTCTTCTTTGGTCATCTGCTCATCTTGCTGTTCCTGTTGAGGGAGCTCTTTCTGGTGCGGGAGCTGTGGATCCTGTTGCGCTTGTTGTGGCTCTGGATGTAGTTTTGGCTCCTGCTGTTGCTGTTGCTGTTCCTGGAGTTGGGGCTGTTGGTGCAGCTGTATTTCTTGCTGTACCTGTCGCTGGATCTGTCGCAGGTGCTGGTGCAGTTGCTCTGGCTCTTGCCCTGGCTGTTGTTGTAGCTGCACCGATGGCGGCTCCTGTTGGACCTGTTGTTGTTGTGTCTGTTGCTGTGCCCGTTGCGCGCGCTGGATCAGTCGTTGATACAGAAACTGCAGTCGTTCTTGGAGCTCTAGTTGTCGCTGGTACTGCACTGCTCGCTGGAACTGTTGCTCCTCCTCCTGTCCCCCTGGCTGTATCTGGGATTGTTGCTGGGGCTGAGGCTGTGGCTGTGGCTGCTGAGGATAATATTGTTGTTGCTGTTGTTGTATAGCAAAGGGCGATGGGTCCTGAGAACTTGTATGGACCCATCCCGCATGCAGCGACTGAACCAGTGGCGCAAATTGTTGTTGTTGAACTTGTTGCTGAACTTGTTGCTGCTGCGCTGGTAGGGTAAATTGCGGGTGTTGTTGAACTTGCTGTTGCTGCGCAGGCCCCGTCTGCTGCAACAACGCTTGCGGTTGTATCTGCTGTGACTGCGATGACTGCGGCCACCGGCCATCCCTCCTCATCTGCTCGAGTTCTGTACGTGTGTAGCCACGAGCCGCCTCGCCCCTCCACGTACGTGATCGTGTCACCTCCTGCCAAGTCATCGGCCGTGTCCGACGCTGAGGTTGAGGCTGAAGCTGAGGCTGAAGAGCATTCGGAGTAGGGGCTGGAGGGACGGTAGATGTCGCTTGCGTCGACCTAGTAGCATTATTGTTATCGTCAAGCCTTTGGCGTTTAAGAGCTCGCTCAGTGTCGTCGTCATCGCCAGTAAATGATGGGAGTCCTGTGATACAACAAAGGTTAGACGTCAAACATTCAATCAGGATCAGGAATTAGAAAGATGCGACTCACCTCTTCTTGTCCCGAAGCGAGGATAAGGAATCATTTGCGCCTGTGACAGCGGCGGATGACTCTGCGGTTGGTAATGCTGACCAGTTGATGATCCAGAAGGTAGTAACTGCCCAGTAAGTTGCGGATTGTCTGTCTGTTCGGCAGGTTCAAGACCAGATGTCGGCTCGGTGGGAAGAGTAAAAGCAGTGTTGCCGTAGCTGGTAACCGGATTCTGATAAGAGGGCGTCTGATATGAGGTTTGCTGGCGCAGCTGACGGTTCTCTTCCCTGAGCCTGTTATTCTCTTCCACAATCGTCGCCAGTCTCCGCCTCGTCTCCTCCAGTCTCATCATCGTCCGTTGTAGTACCGACTCTGTTTCCTCCAGCTGACCTCTGCGGAGAGGCCTATCGGTGAAAGGATCGAAGTAAATGCAGTCGAGGTTGTTCGTCAGGCATCGGTGGCATTTCGGGATATTTTGATCGCAGGTGCTCTTCGCTTTCTAGAAGGTTAAAAAAGATTAGCAGAAAGATCTCCATGATTATGGTTCGAAGTAGCAAACAAGGGAAACTCAATATGCATGGGGCAAGAAGCTCGACTGTGGACAAACTTTTGATGAAGATGAGTCGGTAGATTGAATCTCCGTTTCAGACCCTGATGCTCCATCTTCAGACTGCAACGATAGCTTTTCAATCCGCGGTAACTCGTCACCCATGATCGTCGAGACTCGAGTGGATGTGTAGTGATATGTCGTGATGTGTTCAGGATTCAGAGACTGTCAGTATCTGCAAAACAGGCAATGGACAAGAAATAGCCCGAGCCAAACTGCTCCGATGTCCACGATTTGTCACACTTCTGCGTGAAGAAAGTTCCGGATCGTCATCATGGTGGATGAAGTATGACATCTGCGGAGACAAAAGAGCAGAGACCATTTCATACTTCTCCATGTACCTGGCGTGCTGATATTGAGAGTGTCTGCAAACAAAGGTCTTCCTGATCCAGGCACACAGCTGGAATGGTGTCATCCAGCAGCAAAAGAGTGGCATAACACATGGATTAATGAATGATGTGACAGCCTAGAAAGAAACTGGGGATAAAGCACGGGGTAAAAGGGATGATACAAATGGAAACATCAAAGGGACAGAACTTACCCTACAGGGGTTGCACGCTCGTTTAGTGCGATCCTTTTTCTTCACCGTCTGTTGAGTTTCTTCTCCAGTGTTCGCAGGTTTTGCCTTCGGCGGTCGTCCACGTCTCTTCTTTGTATCTGTCTGCGAATTTCCCGGGGCTTCTCCCTGCGCGTTCTCGGCAGCTTCTTCCTCCCTCAGTCGATCTAACGTGGCCTTCTTCTGCTCCTTCGCAGCCTGTTTCTCGGCTGCCTTCTGCTCGGCCTTCTGCAGACGTTCCCTTAGCTTCTGGACTTCATCCTCGGCCCTGTCATAAGCGTTGTCTGCGTCTCGCGTTTCTCTTTCAGCCTTGGCAATAGCCTTGGCCTTTTCTTCTTCTGCCTTCTCAGCTTCAGTCTTTGTCTCCCTTTTAGCGCGAGTTGCCTGCCTACCACCTCTTCCCCTGCCTCCACGCGCATTTCCACTCTCCTGAGCGGCTGCCTCGTCAGTTCCTGCAGTAACCGCAGCGCTCGCTGTTGGTGCCTCCAGAGGCGGTGCAGATGCGGAGGGCTGGTTAGTAGAAGCCGGTGCCAATTCTGTCAAGATATGCGATTCAGGATACTGTGCTTGTGCATATGAAGGCCCAGTTTGAGTCTGACGATCGTCAGCTTGAGCGGGTTGCGAATCCGCGGGATAGTTACCTGGTGGAGCAGGAGGCTGTGTGTTTTTGTCTGAAAAAAACTCGAAGGCTTCTTCAGTAACTTCCTCAAGATGAAATTCGTCGTCACGAAACCATTCCTGAGGGAAATCGTCAGCGTTTCCTGGATTCGACTCCATTCCTGAAGGATCTCGGAAGCAATATCAATTGAACACTAGGGACCTCACGATAAGCGGGTATCCGACAAGGAAAACAGGGAAAAGTGTGGATGTATAAATTGCTGAAGAATTTCTTGTGTCTCGTGGGCAAAGTTATATCGGCTCGAGTGATTCAACAAGGGAATGCCCGTCCTCTTATACCCATACTTTGGCGGACGCTCCTTTCCCAGTGTCATGGCTATTTACTCAATTCAAGCAAGAATATTAGGGCACTGAGACAAAGCACGGCGATCGGAGGAGAGAAGACATTGTCTTTGTGCGGTAAGACCCAAGAAAGAACATGGCAAGCTTCCTTGCCATTGTCGAGGTGCCTGTTAAGACAAATACCACAAAGGCGTTGTTCGTAGATGACAGGCGAAGACCTTTGTAGCAAATGCCAAAGAGCCTTTGATGCCCTGTGACGAAAGAAATGCACCGCACCTAAGCTTTTCTGACAAAGAAAGAGGAGAGGGAACAAAACCTTCTGCAGTTTGATCTGAAAGATCTTTGGCATTTTGCCGACAATGAATGGTACCACCGGACTAGTATACTAGTATAAATATTGTTTCCCATTAATACTGAAAGAGACAAGTTCTTCGTACACTGATAGGCGACGCCCTTTTGTGAAGAGTAAAGTAACAATAGACACCATCTGCATAACAATCAACCGGCAGGACATATATAGGTGAACGATAATCTCTTTATATCTGCATACAATGGAACCTGATACTGTCTCGAGCTGCGAGAAAGATAAGATCAATTTTCCAAAGAACATATGCAAAAATGATACCTCTAAGGTGACGGACAACCCTACCCATGACTTCAGAAGTCAACCAGATGTTTTGTGCTACCTGAGAGAGAAAAAATGAAAAAAAAAAAAACATGCAGTGCTTCCAGAAAAGGAAGAGACCTCGTCACTTTTCTGCCGTCTCCAGTACTCCCTTGCGCCTTCACTGGCCAAGCAAAACCTTCTGAGAGAGATGTCCGAATAGAATTGAACCCGTTTCACTTCGACTACACCAGACAAAAAAAAATGGAGGAAGAAGGGGGATGAATATCCAAAAAAAAAAGAATGCAAAGAAGAAAGGAGCCAAAAAATCTCATCATCGTCATACATCATCGACTTGCAACTAGGACGTTAGGAGCAAACCAGTAACAAAATACCGGATATGTGAACTGTACAGACCACCAAAATCAACGAAGATTATAGAAACATTTGTCCAAAATGGAAGAAACTTGCATCATATGAGGCGTTGCCCGTGTTGAGATACTGCGAAATGTAGATCATGACGGGATAAGATGCAAGGACGAGCCAGGAGTTCATGACGCGATACTAGAACCACGAGGTAGCGCTCAGCGCCCAAGTTTGCCGTTTTCTGCGATAGTCTTAAAGCGGATCCTGTCCTTGTATCGCATATGTCCACCGTATTCGAGCCATGGCGTGAGATTCTTGCATTGGCTGACATCGAAAAACTCCAGTTGATGACAACCTTCTGCCACAGCTTCGACACCGACACCGGTTACACGGACGCAACCACGCACTGATAATTGTTTCAGCCCGAGGAGATGGAGGCCGATGCTTCTTAACGACGGATCTGAAATGGCGGAGCCACAGAACGACATATTGAGATGCGTTAACTGAGAGCACTGAAGGGCGAGAACTTCAGTCGCCGTGTCTGAAAGTGCGCAACAGAATGACTAGATGACAGCAATTAGACTCTTAGTCCAGATGGTACCAAGGATGAATGCAGTAAAGAATGAGTGGCTTACCAGGTCCAGTTCCTGCAGTTGTTTCGCAGCATTGGTCAGATAGACAATAGCATTATCAGTTAGGTAAGTGCAATCGGCCAGGCAGAGTTTCCGCAGTCTGGTGAACTGGGCATTTCCCCAGTACTGGAATCCTTGGTCGGTGATCGTCGTGCACCGCGTCAAGTCGACCTGTTCAATTCGAGGAGCGGCATGAGAAGCGATATGATGCATGGAACGATCGGTGACATGTTTACAGTATGACAAGGTCAACCGTTTCAGCTGTGGACATCCATACACGGCGCCAGCCGGCGTCTGCATTGTAGGTTTGATGGCCCCTTTGGCCTGTGCAAGCGAGTTATGCTGTGCAAATGTCGATGCTGGCACGACCCAACCAACCAACCGAGCCAGAAGGGTGTCGCTCACTTTCCTGCAATTGCTCAAGTCCACTTCTTGTAGACCGGTGGCTGTGCTGGCCATCTCGAGGATGGCCGACGCAGTCACGTCCCAGACGCTTTTCATCTTCCACGCCTTGACGTTGCGGCCGCATGTCTTCGCCAATGCGGTGAAGCCCTCATCCGTGAGGTGGAAACAATTGCTAATGTCGATGTAACGGGGCCGGTCCTGGACAAAAGGGCAGATGATATTCGTGATGACATCATCGGTGATCTTGCGGTTGTAACGGCTGAGATCGAGGTGGTGAACGAGATCGGGCGATTTGGTGAGGAGATCAGACCAGTGAACGGACACGGCCCGCAGGCGGAGAAGATGGTGGAGTTCTAGATATTGAAAGATCCGGACAAGGACATTGTCAGGCAGGATTCCACGATTATCAGGTTTTTTCCCGAGCAGTAAACCTGTCCGGGAATTCGACGTCGTCGCGCTCTCTGGAAACACGGTTCGAAAGGTGATGCTTGAACGGGGTTCGAGAAGGGTGGTCTGACGGTGATCGTCTCCCCCGGAAGCCTCCTCAGAGGGAACCACACCTACCGAACTGCGGCGGGACTTGAGCCGAACGTTGTCTAAACCGACATTCAGAAAGGGGTCCGGATCTGAGGGAAACACTGGGGGCTCGGCCATCCCATTGGTTTTGTGAGAGGGATCCAACTCCGTTTCCGTGAGCGTCACCATGGGCATCGACTTTCGTCGCGAGTTGGTAATTTTGAGCTTGTCGTCGATACTCAAATGGCTGATGGGAGATGTTGGGGGGTCCTTTGCATCAGTCATGAGCACGTCGCCGTCAGTTGCCGATTCGAGTCGGCTCTTCGCCGTCCTTTCGATCTGCTTGCGAATATCTTCTGGGCATTTCTCCCAGAATTCCACAAGCACCTCACCACTAAGCATGAGGCATTCCACCGCGGTGACAGAGCGAACCGTTGCGGTCCGCCGAGGGGTGAGAGAGAGGCTCACGATCTCGCCGAAGTACTGGCCCTGCACCAGGCGAGCCTTGACTTCCACACCGCGTCCGCCTTGATCATCGGAACCCTTGCGAGGGTATCCCGTGTCCGGATTTTCGTTCAGGACCTCCACCTCGCCTCGCACAATGAAGTAGATCTCACGGCCCAGTGTGTCTTGCCGAATGATCTCGGTGAAGGGCGGATAAGACATGGGCTGAACATTCAGTCCTAGAAAATGAAGGAGATCCGGAGGAAGACCAGAGAAGAGGGGCAATTCCTTCAGCAACAGTCGGACGTTGACCATGCCATTCGCCAACGCGCTCGACGGCGTGACATCGGTGACGCCTGGACTGGGGGATTTGCGCTTCTTGTGGACGTTGATCGACTTCAGGTCGTTTTCTTCTTCGGGAGACAAATCTCCGGAGGCGCTGTCACGCACTCTTTTCGAACCTCTCCGTTGCGGCGCCGCTGACTTGGAGGCCGCATCCTGGCGTTCTTTCTTCTTCTTCTCGAGGATCATCAATCGCTCCTGGGCCTCATCCCGAATGGCGCGCTCGACCTCGGGGAACCGTGGCAGAATCTTTCTGAAATCTTCCTTGGTTAGGACAACGAGTAAGCAACGGGTGCGGGCAATGATGGTCGCGGTCCGGGGTCGGTCCATCAAGACCCCAATCTCCCCAAAGAAGGCGCCCGGCTTGAGCTCTGCGTGAATGCTCTCCCCGTCACGGGACGTGACCGCCACGGCCCCCCGGACCAGCCAGTACATGGCCTTGGCCTCATCGCCCTCTGTTACAATATAGTCGTTGGGAGAGTGTAGCTGCGGACGAAGATGCAGCCCAACTTCGAGGAGGAAGGATTCAGGAGTGGATTGGAAAAGAGGAAAGGAACGGATTCGATCAATCAGGTCCAGGGGCATGCCCTGGATCTGCGACGAGGCCAACGGAGAAGGGCGCGCTGGGCGATTGGGGTTCGTGGCAGAATTGAAGGAGTGTATCACAGAGATGGCCTCGGAAATGGGAGCGGCCGCCTTGGTGGACGCTCCACTGCTGGATCGGCGTTGGCGCCGCATGGCTGTTGGATTTATGCGATTGGTCTTGATTCTTCTTCCAATGGCTACCTGAAGCGACGATTGTGTACATCAGAGAAGACACATGGTGCTATAAGGAAGGCCGATGGATCAACGACGACAGCGGAAAGAGCATTGGGTGTCGCAAGACCTCGATCTGAACTCCCACGGTCGACGCTTAGCGGATTGAAATTCTGGATTTGTCAGACAGATGCTGGTTGACTCATCGACGCGTATACTCTCGTCTGGTATATTTGAGGAGACTGACAGCAGCAGGAGAAGGGTCAGTTTGCATGGCCAGGTGCTCACCGCAGGTGGGGGGAGATCAATGTTCAAGATAGAGCGGGAGATCCACTTACAGATCGCTGGTAGCTTCCGCCAGACAGCGCGACGCAGACAGCATCAACGCCACGGCAAAGATGCGATCAGATTGTAAAAGCGAAGCCGCAGAGCAGCAATATGTTTGTTCGACAGAGTTCAGAAAAGGCCGACAGTCGCACGAGACGGAGGAGGCTAGGCGAGTACAGCACGTGCTGCGGTTGCGAGTTAGGTCTGTGCCTGGAGAGCCGGAAGTGGGGAAAGCAGGCGAGCAGGCGAAACACCGGTGCGGGCACTGCGGATGTCGGAGCGGGGAGGAAGCCAAACTGGCAGATCAATTGAACGGAGTCAAAGGACAATCCAAAGCAGAGCAGGGACGGTCCGGCGTCCCTAGTGACTTGGCGGAGGGGAGTCTTCAGTAGCTGATTGAATCGAGTGACGAAAGAACAACCACCTGCAAGGGGGGTGGCGATGGATGTTGGAGTTGGGGGTCAGGAATAATTGCTAGCAATTTGAGCTCGACAATCAGCTAGGCTCGAGGAAGCAGCGAGAGAAGGCCAACGAGGGGAACAGGCCGACTGGATTGGCTTGGAGCCTTGGCTAGAGACAAGCTCGACATCGCTTGCAGGTTCATTATTCTTGCAGACGGAATAAATCACGATGGCGGCCAGCCAGTGAGAGCGGGCGGTGGGAGTGTGGAACAACAGCCGACACGAGATGGCCAGTGAGATGCTGGCGGGGTCCACCCGGTAAGCATAGCTATTTTATTCATCCAGCCTGCACGCTCGCGTCAACCGCCAATTCTCGGACCCAGGATGGAGCCTCCTTACAGGGTGCTCCAAATGTCTGTACCTAATAATACCTGTACTTCGAAACTGCCGTGGATTGCGTGAGCGTCCAGACAGGCAGGTCTATGCCTTCCCATCAGAGGTTGTACTGTCCTTAGATCCTAATTCGGCAGGAGCGGCTGCGGGGCAGGAACGGTGCAGGGACCACCCATCGCACCTGCCCTCCATCCCGAATACCTCGTATCGCGCCTTCCCTCTGTGTTCGATTCCAACTCATCCATTAATCAGCAGATCAGGCTGACTCTTACGAACCGAATGGGAAAACAAAAGCTATATGACCCTATCAGTCCTGCGTACAGGACGGCCTTATTTTATCGTTCAGTCAAGAACAATCAGGCTGCACATAAAGGACAGTACATGTACCAATCTGCAAGGGAGCAAGCAACGACGTAGGAAGTACCTAGTACATAACCTATTGGCCAGATCCCTTTTTGCGACAGGTCCGACAGAAGTGCAACGATAGAACCTATCCTCTGCCATCATCGCCATCACCCAACCTCGTGGCTAATTTCGATGCCAGATGCCTAATAAGACACGTGCCGCTGCCGATGCAACTAATCCTGCATAACTCGGCGTTGCCTGAAGTGTATGTGGCTCCAGCAGATCGAATCCCAAGTCTGGAGCGGCGGCAACACCGTCTTCTTCTAGAATGATTCCAGAAGACCCAGAAAGACGGGGATCTCGTCAGATTTGCATAAGATGAAACAGCTAGTCGATCTTTTTGCCGATTCCCCTGGTCTCCTTTGCTCCTTCCGGGAGTCTCGAGGTGGGTCTTTTGACCTTGCACGGTTGCGTTGTGAGCTCTCGTTTGGTCGTTCGTGGGGGCCTGGAAGAGCAACGGGTTACTGATTTTGTGCTGGCGATTCGATGACTCAGGCTCCGAGTCTATTGTGGTGGCTGCAGTGTCCGTGTGCATCTCTATTTTTAACTTCTACCAACTAGTATTCTCCGTAACCCGTCTTGAATGACATGTGCCGATAACGCTGCTTGTCGGCGAACCCTATTCTGTACTAAACTCCATCTGCGGAAAGGAAAATGGGGGCCATGATATAATAATAATTAGTCAGTGTAGTCAAGCAACAGATGATATCCGCGATGGAGGAGTTCGTTGCTAGGTTCCTGAGGAAGAGCCTCAGAAACTCACCCTTGCAATCCATTGGGCGTATTATCCCAGCTACTTAGGTAGGTAAGATCGTTATGACCAACAAACTCTGGGACATTCGGATCGAGCGCCCCCAGGTCATTCCAAAACTGGCCCCCACAAGGTGTGACAGTGCACATTAAAGATGTTCTTTCTTAGGTAATGTACATTTAGGATCCGACGCGAATCATCGGAAAAAAAAAGGTTAAGGAATACTCGAGAATGTAGGGTATGAGCCCTTGATTTGACTGGTGGATCTATCGGGAACGGACATGGACACGGTGATTAATGAGGAGGCAGTATAGATCTATTACAACCTCTATGCAAGATCAGGTCTGAAGGTCATCTGCAATGCAACATGTGGGCACTCAAGGTTCATGTAACAACAATGGCAAGCTGATCACCGACTGAACAGAAAAGAGAACAACTCTAGCACATGGCCAACGCAATAATTATATCATTTCTTCAGTATAATACACGGCTCAAGTCTCCAACAAAAATCAACATGGCATGGTATATTTATTTACAGTGATTCTCGCAAAATGTTGTACTAGTGACGTGTACAACATGTAGCATGGCCTAGCCTGCAGACTCGACGGTCTCGAAACGTGGAATGAGTTGAGATGCTTATGCCCCCAAGGCAATTGTGAGAAACGTCAATTAGAAAATAGTTTATTCCAATCGAGGCTCTTGTTGCAAACATAATGTGCTCTTTTGAGGAGCCCAGCGAATTCGGAAATTTCGCCATGGATGCCAATGGAACTGACTCAGGTCTCTCTGTTTGAGATCGCAGTCCTTGCGAAAGTATGCTGTAAATGCATAGCGGTCGTAAAGATTAGAAACCCCGTAAACTGCAATCTGTGCCCTTCCCTGACTGCTGAAAGAGGACAAGCTGTCTGCAGGCTATGTTCGGGGACATAGTGACAAGCCAACCGAACTTTCGAGGAGTAGGCATTGGAGCACAGGGAGTTCACTGACTTGCTCAGACACGGCCCACTGAGCTCCCACGGGAACGGAGCAAGAGTGCACCTCGTGTAGAACATATCCCACTGGAATATGGGCGGAGTGGAGTGACGGAAAGTCAACCCTTGACATGCTTCACCAGATCCAGATCCACCCCAGACTTATACGTGCCAACGAGGTCAGGACCTGGTGTTGCAGGAATCAAGAAACTTTCTGGTCATCAGTGAATAATCCTGACCAATCCCAGTCTTTATACTGCACCGATCTGAGCGCTCTTTTAGGATCCGACGGAGAACCTCTATCTGACCAGCGATGAAGCCAACCGCACATTCAGAGGTTTCCGCCATCGTCCTTGTTCGCAGATCGCCGGTTGCCCAATATAAAGTCGACATATGCGGGACGGTTCCCTTTCAGGGACTCCAGCGCATCTTGCATCAAGCCATACGCGAGACTCAATTTCAGTCCTAACTTGGTCGCACGGGCGGCGGTGTAGATGTCGTGGCGAGCTACAAGAGAACAAATTAGCTGTTGACGAAGGATTCAAAACCACATGGAGCAGCATACCAAGCAAGCTATAAATTCCTGAGAAAGACAAGCCAGCTATGACAGTGGATAGAAAATCCCTCCGGTCATTGCGAGCACAATCCACCGTCTCCTCGAACAGGCAGAAAGCCATCGCTCCGGCCCCCAGCTTGAACCCCATTTTCATGCCTTCTTGAACGCCTCCAACGATCGCCTTGTAGTTCTTCGTCTTGTGGTACTGGAACCACCCCGTCGATGTGGTGGGAAACCGATGGGCATTCTCGGCGCGGAACTGGTACGCTGCCTTTTTGGCACCGTAAGAGGAGCCAATGGCCATGCCAACGGAGAAAGCAGCAAACATCGTGTACGGAAGACGGTCTTTTATCTCCATCCCGAGCCGTGGAGGCGTGTCGGATTCGAACAGTTTATACCAATGCAAGATTTTGAGCAACACCTGCGGCTCTTCAGGTCGGCCGCGCTCAGTTTGATTCTCCTCCATCTCGTAAGGGGGGACTGTCTGTAGAAATCAGAGATCGCTTCCAGTGAAAATATTTCCAAATTGAAAATTTCAAGTCACTCCGATCTGCTGTTCTTAACCAGAGAGCTTGCTGCCATTCCACTGTTTGTTGAGGTGGTGCGCGGTTAAGGACCGTCTCCGCCGGAGACTGTCAGCTAAAATTCTCCGATTGCCGACTACGCCTGGTCCGAGCTGCCGCAAAACCTACGAGCTGTTATCCCCGGTCACACGTCCCAACATGGTGAGTCCACAGTCAAGAATAACCGTATATGACATGAAATCTGATTTCTGCAAAAGTACAAACCAGATCCTTTGAGTTGGACCTTGCGGTTCAAAAAGCACAAGACCACAGTCCTGCTCATGGTACCGGCCCATGAATCGATCGCATCGACCAAGGAGATGCTTCTGCATGCTCTCAAGAGCCGTGGTATTACAGAGATAAATGGCGATCCCGTCCCGGACGATCCGTCGGAGATCGAGTTCGGCGTTCCTATCGATCGAAACGAGCTCGAAAAAGGCTGGACCCGACTCGATGTCGAACTTGCCAACGGAGAAAAGACCTCTGGTCGGGTCAAGAACGGGACGAAAGCTAGCCTGCAGTCCGCAGATATTAGAAACGGACAACCTATCGCCTTCCGGTTCCGCAAGGCGAGTGACGAGAACCAGGATAAAGACGACTTGGAGTTGGAACTTGAAGACCCGGGTTGGGACGTAGTGGTCCCGACTCTCGATAATGAAGAGCCAGAATGATGTCATCTACGAATTCTACGTAATTTGGTGATGCTTTGGGTTAATTTGGATGGTTTTACGGATACCTTGGCGTTTGATTGGCGTCTCAAATGGGAGCGAAGTTATGTTAACTATGAACTATGTGTTGCGCTGGGTTTCGCGATCATCAACACAACCTACAAGTGGTACACTTTCAACCTTCATAAACCTAAGTCTATGAATTGAACTCTTTTCAGTTGCAGAAATGCCCACCTGCTGGAGTGTAAGCCTCGACGAAGGCAATGAAGATTCTGAATGAAGTACCGACGTAGTTGAATTGACCCTTTAGAAGTGACATTCTAACTACAGACTCCGATACAGCAGTCATATTTATCGCGGAAGAGCAGTGGCAGAATTTCAAATGCTTCTAGAAACTCCTGTAAAATAGTCGACTACGGAGTATGTTTCTAGAGGTTTTCCATGCAGCCAGCCGGCGTAGTCATATAGAAGTGCCTTTAAGCCAAAAGTGCGTGGCGTTTGGCAAGTAGGAAGGTTCCGGCCGCTGGCAATAGCCGCAATACCAGGGAATGAGACGGCAGATGCTACCGAACACGCACCTCCGCCCTGACAGCGGCTGTTGCTCGGAGCAACGGGCGGCAGAATCAACACTGAACCATCAACAGCTCAACCCCTTTCGATGACGCTTAATCAAGCACTTTTCCGGGGTCAAGACAGATCCACATTAACATTCCTCTAACTTAGAGCTACATCTGCATTCTATCTCTTTCCCATTGATTATATCTATCACTCACGGGAGGGCCGAAGCACCTGGTGGCAGGCCAATACTGGTAGTTGCAGGCAGTTGCGTTTGTTTATTCCATATCTTTAGAGGCCCAGCGGCCTTGGGGCTCAGCAACACAAGCCACACAATATGGCTGCCGAAAGCGGCTCGTCATCGATCTCGGTGACGGTCAGGGTGCGGCCTTTCACAATCCGAGAGGCTGCACAGCTTGCAAAGAACGACGATACCCCGTTGTTCCTCGGCGATGGCTCGCTCGCTGGCGTTCCCAGCACCCCCAAGCTTTCGCAAAAGGGCATCAGACCAGTCATCAAGGTCATTGACGACAAATGCTTGTGAGTCTTCATATTGCCGCGAGGTCCTTGACATAACCACTAACGTCTCTTCAAGAGTCTTTGACCCGCCGGAGGATAACCCTGTCCAGAAGTTCTCTCGAAGCGTTGTTCCCAACGGTAAACGCGTCAAGGACCAGACGTTCTGTTTCGATCGTATCTTCGACGAAAACACAACACAAGCAGAGGTGTACGAGGCCACGACCAGAAGCCTGCTCGAAAGCGTGCTGGATGGATACAATGCCACAGTCTTTGCGTATGGCGCGACAGGTTGCGGAAAGACGCACACCATTACCGGGACTGCACAGCAACCTGGAATCATCTTCCTGACAATGCAAGACCTCTTTGAGAAGATAGAAGAGAGAAAAGAGGAAAAAATAACGGAAGTTTCGCTCTCCTACCTCGAGATTTACAACGAGACCATTCGTGACTTGCTTGTTCCTGGCAAAGGAAACTTATCACTGCGCGAAGATGCAAACCAAACGGTCTCGGTGGCTGGGCTATCAAGCCATCATCCAAAGAATGTGCAGGAAGTCATGGACATGATTATGCGGGGCAACGAGTGTCGCACAATGTCTCCCACCGAAGCCAACGCAACTTCCTCTCGGTCCCATGCTGTTCTGCAAATTAACGTGGCCCAGAAGGACCGCAACGCGGACGTTAATGAGCCCATGACTATGGCCACATTGAGCATCATCGATCTTGCAGGGAGCGAGCGAGCAAGCGCGACGAAAAACCGAGGAGAGAGACTCCAGGAGGGAGCAAATATCAACAAGTCTTTGTTGGCCTTAGGAAGTTGCATCAACGCCCTTTGTGATCCGCGCAAACGAAACCATGTCCCCTACCGAAACTCCAAGCTCACTCGGCTTCTCAAATTTTCTCTTGGTGGTAACTGTAAAACAGTCATGATTGTCTGCGTCAGTCCGTCAAGCCAGCACTTCGATGAGACTCAGAACACATTACGCTACGCGAATCGAGCGAAGAACATCCAGACGAAGGTTACGAGAAATGTGTATAATGTGAACCGCCACGTCAAGGACTACCTGGTGAAGATTGACGAGCAAATGGCCTTGATCAATGAGCTCAAGGCGCAACAAAAGGAGTATGAATCGATTGCCTTTGCCAAATTCCGAAAGCAGAATGAAAAGAAAGAAGCTGTTGTGCGGGAGAGCGTGGCTCGCATCCGGAATGCTTATGAGCACTCTGCCCCAGAGAGACAGGAGAAGATCAACAGCATGCTGAAGCTGCGACAGGTCAGTCGCCGGATTGGCATTTTGTCTTCATGGATTGCTGCATTCGACACCGTCTGTGACTCTTGCGAGAGTGAGACGCCCATGCAAAACCTCCAGGCCATCCGGAAGACAGCGCAGGGAATTCTCCTAGAATTGGAGAACACTCGACACCATTACAACCAGCGCATCGCAAAGAACAACTGGGACCGAGCTATCAATACCGCTCTCGACCATGGTATCCAGCAGCTTCGGGAATTCGATACAAGTGATAACACCGATATTGCAAATCTTACTCGAGAAGCCGAGCTGTTGAAAGCAAATGCGGAACGAGAGGCACTTTCCGCTGTTGCCGAGCACGATAAGGCAGGCGACGTGGCCACGGTGCAAATGCTCCTTCAGGCCCACTTCGAGACTGTGTCTGCAATTGAGAATATAATGCAGCTTACCGAGGAGGAAGCCATCGAAACCGGAAAGAAAATCTTGACCAAGTTACTCAATTCTTGCTCCACTGCCGCATCCAGTGTTGTTAAGCCCGACGGAAACTTTCCTTCAGTGGAAGTGCCTTCCCTGCCCAAGTCCGGAACTCCCATGCGCCGAAGGAAATCCAGTCTCGCTGGTGGCGCTTCGAAGATTCTGAATCCGCCTGTTATAATAGCACCTAACGCATCGGCGTCCCCCTTGAAGAGCTCTCCACGACGCAGAAAGCTAGGAATGGCGAAGAAGGGCGTCAGCTTCACTCCTAAGAAAACACAGACCAAGACAACCAAGAGGGCCGTCAGATGGAAAGATGATGAGCAGGACGGTTCTCTGGCCGAATTCGAGAAGACCCCTAAGAAGGCCGAGTCAAGTCCGGAGAGCTCATCCGGCGAGCCGCCTCTTCCACGAGTGTCCCCTGTGCCACGAGGAATTCCTGTTTACACAAAGAATGTCAACAGGTCTCCTGGGTCTTCTTCCTCTTCCCCAATTCCACCACCGCCCGAGCCGACACTGAGTATACACAGCAAGAGCAGCCGATTTCAGACCGGGTTCCTAGCCAAGAAGTCCAGCGGATCTCCTGTGCCAGCGACACTGACAAACGTTTCCTCCTCCGATAACGAGCACTCCCCGCTTCGCGATATTAACAAAAACAACTTTCTCAATCGGCCTTCGCTTGATCGTCCGTCCCGCATCGCCGTCCGAACGTCCAGCGGCAGTTACGGCAGCAGCCCCGCCTCAGATGGCGAGAAGAGCTGGAAGGCAGACAAGGAGGAGGCGATCAAGATCAGTGCAGCGATGAGGCGCATTTCAGGAGGTCAGTTTGGAAACGCTACTTCAGGAGTGCCCGTGAGTCGGACACATCGTCGGAGAAGCCCTACGGCCACTACTTTGAGCAGTTCACCTAACGAGAACACCATGTTTACGGCGTCGCAGGCAAGGAGGATGGTAAAGAGCGAAAAGGAGCATGATCTGAAGCCCAGTGTTCTCGGTCCTCGTGCGGTTTCGATATCCAAGAACTCGCGGCGGATCTCAGTGGGGGATATTCGACCTCGCGAAGTCAGCCTCACCAGTCGGGATGCGGTGAGACTCAGCGCCATCGCAGCATCGGGAGCCGAATCGCGTTTCAGTCTAGGACCTGCGGTTAGGGGAGGGTTGAGATAGTATAGTGCGGCACACAGGTTTCTTTGCTTTCTGACGACAGCGGCGTTTGGGATGGCGTTTTTTTGGGATGTATACCGGGCATTTTGTGTCCTGCAGCTATGCGGTTTTCCTTTACTTCTAATTGCTCGGATCATCCGGGCCTTGCGCTTTTCTTCTTCAGACGACGGTGTTCTGAAGCTCGTGTACTTTTTTTTCTCTGTACAAGTAATATACTTCCCTTGGTGTGTTTCCTTAGTGTATGACGATAATGGACGATCCCTTCTTCTTTCTCCACGGCTGTCGTGTAGCTTGTTCTTGACTAAGTTGGTTAGTTACCAAAGAAGTTGTACGCATCCCTGAAGCTGTTGATTATTAGCCCGAATGGCTATCATCGTCCGAGTAAGTATTCCAAAGAAATCGTGGCAGGTGAGCAATAAAATGATTCTAAAGACACAGCAATTAAAACGGGTTCCAGGCCTGTCAGAATGTTTATTTGTCATCCCGCCATGACGCCACTGCGGTCTAATTGAGCTCCACCGTTCACTTAACTACCTAATTCTAGAATAAAAAAAGTTCCAACAGTTATTGAAAGAACACATCTCCAGTACCAATACTTTGACGGAGATAAATTAATCTGTACTCCAGTGAAGGAATTGCCTTTTCAGCTGCCGTTCTCGTCCCAGGTTGTCTAAATATTATTTCCAGCTCTGGTAGGACACGGCCCTTCCCCGCAGCAAGCAGGTCGCGCGACTTTTCGCGATTGGTCTAACGGTTCCGGTGACAAAAACAGCCATTTCTTTTCTATCCATTCCTTCCTCCTTTTTCTTTGTGTTACTTCTTTGTAGGTACTAGTACTATTGTTACTCAATGGCCTTTGTCCTGCCGACATTGTTCTCACGCTTCTTCCGCCCTTTCGCCGCTAGCTCGTCTCTGGGTTTGACATCATCCGAAGCCGCCGCTCGCACCATCACCACCATGCCGGACAACGCGCAGAAGGCCACCCTCGCGGCGGGCTGCTTCTGGGGCGTGGAACATCTGTTTCGCAAGCACTTTGGCAACGGCAAGGGACTGCTGGATGCCAAGGTTGGTTATTGCGGCGGGACTACGCAGTCGCCGACATATCGGATTGTGTGCTCGGGGACGACAGGACGTAAGTGCATTACATAGCCGATTTTTCTTTCTTCCATATAGTGTCTGACATCTTGTCCTACCTGTCTAGATGCTGAGTCCCTTCAAATCACCTTCGATCCGTCGCTAGTCAGCTACCGGCAACTGCTCGAGTTCTTCTACCGCATGCACGACCCCACAACCGCGAACCGGCAGGGACCTGACGTCGGGACGCAATACCGCAGCGCCATCTTTACGCACAATGAAGAGCAGGAGAAAATCGCCAAGGAGGTGACCGAGAAAGTGGGCAAGGAGTGGTACAAGGGCCAGCCGATTACGACGCAGATCGTGCCGGCGGGACAGTGGTGGGACGCGGAGGAGTACCACCAGCTGTACCTGGAAAAGAACCCCGATGGATACGAGTGTCCTTCTCAGTACGAGTCCTTGGTCTTTGCTTAATTTTGCTGGAAGCAGCTGACTGACGATGATACAGCTTTGTGAGGAACTTCCCTCCGCTGTCGGAATGACTAAAAGGGTGACGGATATGAGATGTGAGAGGTAATATAGTGAGAAATGAGACTCTTAATTTACGGCGAAAAGAATCGATAACGACCTAGTTTTAATTGTAGCAACATATATGCACTGTACATACGCACTGGGGAAACGTTCTTTCCCATATTAACCAATTCGTCTTTCTACCTAATGAGCCAGTTGTTCCCAGATATCCGACCAGGAATCTTCTCTCTAGTAGTAGAATCAGCCAGAATTCCGCCCTCCTTTGTTGTTTTACGTGTCGTCTGACATCTTTGCTCTTGATACTATGCCCAGCCGTCTGACAGCTTTTGACCCTGAGAATTCTCTCGCTTGGAGATCCTGTGCAACAACAAGCCGTGTGCAACATTGCCCGATGCGACATTCTGGAGAGTCCCAACTGAGTCCGGGATGGGGGTGACTTTGACTGTCCCATTCCGAATCGGCGTGGAGGTGATTGCTAACAGCACGGGGAAGGAGCATACCCGAGGGAAGGCAGTGGGCGATCCTATTTGTCACGACTCAACCCTAACCGGCAGCTGCAATCTACACACAAGGTTCCTGCCCGATTCGGCATGTTGGAAACACGCCCGCCTGTTGACTAACTCGAAGAAGGTGCCCCTACACGCAGGACTTCTCCCGTCTCTATCTCTTCCACTGCTAATCCTTTCTTTCCCTTCTTTGTCTTTGTTCTCTCTGTCCTACTCCTGCTAGACTGACAAGGCGACTCTGGAAACCGCAGTTCACCCACTCGTCTCCCTCTGTTTCCATGTGGGAGCTGCTTATGGTCACATATCCACCGAGACGGATCCGCCACATCTGCCCCCTCAGCTGGGACCTGCGTCTTTAGCTGTCCTACAGATGCTCTTCGGCCAGATATTGCTTCGACAGTGACAGAGTATTTACTGCAACCTTTTCTCCGCAATGGACGGCTCCACAAATCCCCCTCGCTACCTTTGGCCTGATTGCCTGCGCTACTGCCATCCGTTTCCATCGTTGCCTTGTTTTGCTGGTTTTCTTTCTTTGGTCCCAGGCAAGGGACTCGGACGATTTCAGGGGTGCGATTGAGTCCTCAAAGCGAAGATAGAGCTGCTCCATTTTCGTGGCAGTGTCAGGGTCTTGATGCTGAAACACATGGAGACTCTATTGTTCTTTGGCGACCAGACGGTGGACAAGCTGCCGGCCATCCAGAAACTGGTGGCTTATTCCCGGACCTCGCGGTTAATCCGGCAGTCTTGCGCGAGGCCTGCGATGCCGTCCAGCTAGAGATCGTCCAGCTGCTCCCCAATGAGCGTGCCAATATCGGCGACTTCGACCATCTCCTCCGGTTGGCCGAGGATAATGCGCGATCGAATGAACACAACGAAGTGATTGCCACGGTGCTGATGAACATCGCTCGATTAGGAGAGCTGATTCTGTGCGTGCGCCACCGGGTGAGAAATTGATCGACTAACAAATCCTGCTGCTAGATATGCCGAGGAAGACCCCCTGATCCTCGGATCCCACGGCAATCCCATCCATGTGCTGGGCTTCTGCACAGGCGAGATTCCCGCGGCCATCGCGGCAGGAGCCCGAGATACTAGTGACCTGCTCAAGTTGGGCGTCGAAGCCGTCCATATCATCTTCCGCCTGGCCCGCGAGCTGAGCCGGCGGTCGTTGCTGGTTGACCGCACCCATGGGAACTGGGCGACGACACTCGTGGATATCACCCCGGAGCGGGTACAGTCGATCCTGGACGATTTCCATCAGAGTCAGGTAGGGCAACTTCTCCTTTCTTTGTTGTCCTTACTGACGTGTGTTCAGGGAATCCCAACAGTGCGCCATGTCTGCATTGGATTCGTCGCGGAAGAATGGCTGACGTTGTTTGGCCCTCCGACGACGCTGCAGCGTCTCTTCTCCTGGTCCACTGAACTGGCAGATATCGCACGGATTCAGACGGACGTTGGCGGTGCCGTTCACATGGCCACCATGCCTGATGTCGACGTGGACGCCATTCTGGGCTCGTCGCCACTGCTGGACCAACCCGTCGTGCCCGAGGTGACCATCGTGTCGCCGTACAGCTGCCAACCCCGGGCGGCGGCGACGCTGCGGGCGTTGATCCGTGAGATCATCCCTGATGTGGCCCAGAAGACGCTGCATCTGAGCAGAGCAATAGACGCGACCATCCAGCATTTGGGCGCCCGGCCAACGCGTCTTGTCGTGGCGGGCTACACCAACCATTTACCATATCTGCAGAAGGTGCTGCAGGACAAGGGCATTGAGTTCACCGTACCACCGCATCGCCGGCCCGATTCCTCATCGTCGAACCAGGGCCGGGAGGGATCCGATCTTATCGCCGTCGTCGGCATGTCCGGTCGGTTTCCGGGAAGTGGCGACGTTAACGCCTACTGGGAAGGGCTGCTGGAGGGCAAACGATATGTCCAGGAGGTAATTATTCCTTCCATTTCGCTGTCTCTCTCACGGCTAACACTTTACAGATTCCGAAATCCCGATTTGACCTCGAAAAATGGTACGATGCCACCGGCCAGCAGAAGAACTCGACACTGGCCCGGACAGGGGCGTTCTTGGACCAGCCTGGGCGGTTTGACCACCGGCTGTTCAACATGTCACCGCGGGAAGCGCTGCAGACAGATGTGCAGCACCGTCTATTCCTAACGACGAGCTATGAAGCGCTGGAGATGGCCGGTTATGCCCCCGACGCGACGTTGTCCACCAGCCGCAACCGGATTGCCACTTACTTTGGCCAGGCGTCGGACGACTGGCGTGAACTGGTCACCACGCAGGGCTTGGATATCTACTACTTGCCTGGCAACTGCCGGGCCTTCGCCCCTGGGCGCCTCAACCATTATTTCAGATGGGGCGGCGGCTCGTACAGCGTCGATACCGCCTGTGCATCGAGCGTCACAACCGTTACTCTGGCCTGCTCCGCGCTGATCGCACGCGAGTGCGACATGGCCCTTGCCGGCGGTGGCTCGCTGCTCCTGTCACCAGCCCCTTTCTCGGGCCTGAGCCGGGGCGGCTTCTTGTCCTCGCATGGCGGCTGTCAGACATTCCATGACGATGCGGATGGCTACGTCCGCGGCGAGGGCGTTGGCGTCGTCGTGCTCAAGCGGCTGGAGGATGCCCAGGCCGACAACGATAACATCCTGGGCGTCATCAAGGGCTTTGGCCGCAACTACAGCAGTGACGCAACCTCCATCACCCATCCCTCGGCCACCGCCCAGCAGCAGCTCTATCGGACCGTGCTGCAGCGCAGCAGCACTGACCCGGCCAGTGTGGCCTACATCGAGATGCACGGCACCGGCACCCAGGCGGGCGATGCCACGGAGATGTCATCCGTTCTGTCGACCTTTGCGAAAAACCGAACTCCCGATAATCCCCTGGTCGTGGGTGCAGTCAAGGCCAACATCGGACACGGCGAAGCAGTACGTTGATTATTGCTGCCGGAAAATGACATGACTGATCCCCCAGAACAGGCCGCCGGCGTGTGTGCGCTCATCAAGGTGTTGATGATGCTGCAGACCCGCAGGATTCCCCCTCAGCCTGGCCTACCGTTCGCCATCAACCATCGCTTTCCAGACCTGGCCGCGAGAAATGTGCACATTGCCGGCCTGGACATGGTGTTGCGGCCCAGTCCGGTGGCCGATGGCAAGCTGCGCATCTTTCTCAACAGCTTTGATGCTTCGGTTCGAGTCCTCCTCTCCCCCTCCCCTTGTTTCTGACTTGCTGACTAGGCAATCGACCGCAGGGCGGTAATTCATGCCTGCTGCTCGAGGAAGCGCCCCCTAAGGCCGTCAAAGGACTGGATCCGCGCACCTACCATGTTGTTGTGTTCTCCGCGCGCACGAAAGCGTCCCTGGCAACCATCAAGGAGCGGTATTTACACTATTTACGCCGAAATCCAGCCACATCCCTGGCCGACCTGGCCTATACCACAGCCGCTCGCCGCATGCATGGCCCTCTTCGCTCCGCCATCGTGGCTGCCACTGTGGAAGATCTGATGAACCGTCTGGAAGCCGATCTCACTCGCCCCCAGGAGGCTCCTTCTCCCACCATCAGCGCTCCCCCAATCGTGTTCGTCTTCACCGGGCAGGGCTCGCAGTATGCGGGCATGGGTCACCAGCTCTGGCGGGACAGCCCCACGGTCCGCAACATCGTCGGGGGCTATCAGGCCGTGGCCACCGCGCTGGGCCTACCCCGGTTCATCGACCTGATTGCCCGAGACGACATCGACTTGGCAGCACAAAGCCCGGCCCAGGTGCAGCTGGCGGTGCTGGCCCTTCAGCTGGCACTGGCGCAGCTGTGGTCCGCATGGGGGTTACAGCCCACCATGGTACTCGGCCACAGCCTGGGCGAGTACGCTGCCCTCTGTGTGGCAGGCGTTCTCACCGTAAGCGATGCGCTCTATCTGGTGGGCATGCGGGCCACAATGATCACCAACGCCCTGACAGCTAACGAATACTCCATGCTGGCCGCCAGCCAGGACGTGGATGCCATGCGGGCTGTCCTGCGCGAAGGCGACTACCGTTCCTGTGAGATCGCCTGTCTCAACGCCCCCGAGATGATGGTCGTCAGCGGTCCCATCCGCGAGCTGGAGACGCTGCAGAGCCAGCTCCGCGCGGATGGCGGTCGGTGCACGCTGCTGTCGGTCCCCTTTGGCTTCCATTCCCAGCAGCTGGATCCCATCCTCGACCGGTACGAGACCGCAGCCCAGGGCGTCACCTTCTCCGCGCCGCGTATCCCGGTCGTCTCGACCTTGCTGGGCTCTCTCGTGCAAGATGAGGGTACCTTTTCTCCCGCGTATCTCCGCCGCCAGGCCCGTGAGCCCGTCGATTTCGTAGGCGCCTTGCGGACTGTGCAGCGGGCCATCCCCGCGGGCAACAACCCATTCTATCTCGAAATCGGACCGGATCCCGTCTGCCTGGGACTCATCCGCTCCACCCTTGGTAATGCCACCGATGCCCGCCGGCTGGCGTCCCTCCGCGCGGGTGAAGACAACTGGGCGACTCTGTCCGCAAGTCTCGGAGCCGCCTACGCTGCGGGCGTGGCCATTGACTGGCCGGTGTATCACGCCGACTTTCTCTCTGCGCTGTCGCTGCTGGACCTACCCACCTATGCCTTTGACGAGAAGGACTTCTGGGCTCCCTTTCCCGATCCGGATGAGCTCATGGCCGACGCTGGGTCAACCAAGCCCCAGAACACCATTGCAATCGCTCCCTCCATCGCCGGATATCCCACGACCACGCTCCAGCGCATCGTGCAGGAACAGGTCGAGCGGGACCGCGTATCCGTCACGTTCGAGTCCCTGGTCTCGGAGGCTCATCTGCTGTCTGCGATCCAGGGCCACGCAGTGGCTGAGGTGGAGATCTGTCCCAGCAGCATTTTGATAGACATGGCCCTGTCGGCCGCCCGGTATGCCTATCTCAAGCAGCACTCGCCAGTCCAGACCCTGCCCACGCTCAGTGTCCGCAACCCAGACCTCCACTTTGCCCTTGTGGCCGCGGAGACACACCGGCCGCAGACGGTCGAGGTAACAGTCGAATACACAGTTGCCGACAGCAGGGCACAGATTACGTACCATTGCTGCAAGCCACAGGTTCGTCAAGAGCTTGGCACCTGCCAAGTGACGTTTGAGACGACGTCCGCGGCCCAGCAGAACGAGTTCGCCCAGTTCCTGCTCCGGTCGCGTATCGACACTCTCAAGGCCGGCCAGGGCCACCGACTGCGCAAGCCCGTTGTCTACCGGCTGTTCGAGAATGTGGTGCGGTACAGTGAGCCTTACCGCGGCCTGGACGAGGTCTTCGTCGACACTGAGATGCGGGATGCCGTCGGGCGGGTCCAGCTGCCGATGCCGTCGCGCTCTGAGGGCCACTATCTCTACAACCCGTTTCTGCTGGATTCTGTCGCCCATCTGGCAGGCTTTCTGGTCAATTCTGGATTGAAATATCCAGCCGATGTTGCTTGTATTGCGACGGGTTTCGATGTGTGGCATTTCTTCAAGCCGCTGGAGGAAACTACCACGTATACGAGCTATGCACATCTGGAGGAGTCGCCCTCCAACAACACCCTGATCCGGGGCAATGTGTATATCTTGGATGGCGATAATATCGCCTCCGTAATTACCGGAGTTCATTTCCAAAAGATGACTAAGGCGGCCCTGTCGCGTGTCTTGCTGGGGGGATCCCCGACGGCCGAGACCACTTCGCGGCGGCGAGGTCAGCCTGCAGTCTCAGGAAGAGACTCGCCGGCGCAGGCCCTGGCGATTGGAAAGGGGATGACAAACCTACCCTCAGCAGCCAAGTCAGACTCTCG